CTTTTTTTTTTTTTTTTTTTTTTTTTTTTTTTTTTTTTGAGACGGTCTCATATGTAATTAAGGCTGCCTTGAACTCACTGTGTAGCCCAGGCTGGCAATAAGCTCACGGTGATCCTCCTGCCTTAGCCTCTTGAGTGCTAGGATTATAGGTGTGTGCCACCAAGCCTGGCTGCCCTTTTCCTTTTTATACAGGGTTTTACTAAGTCACTAAATTGCCTAGACTTGGTTTGAACTTGCAATCTTCCTGTCTCAGACTCCCAGGGTGCTGGGATTACAGGCATTCATCACATCTAGTTTTGTTGTTATTTTTTATTGTGGTACTGTGGTACCAGGGCCTTTACACTAAGCTACACTCCCAGCCCCTTTTTCAATTTTGAGACAGGGTCTCACTAAGTCTCTAAGTTGCTCAGACTGTGCTTAAATTTGAGATTTTCCTGCCTCAGCTTACTGGAGGGCTAAATTTCAGGTATATGACACCCCACCTGGCTTAGACTGACGTTTTACAAAGACAAGTGGCAACAAGCAAGGCGGAGAAGAAATTAGAAGTCTGGGGCAAAGGAACCAACCAGTTCTAAGCCTATTTCAAAAGACCAAAATTACATAAATTAGATTAAGGCAGAGGCTGTGAGAAAGGAAAACATAGACTGAAACAGAGATATTTCAAATAACAATTGACAATATTGGTGTTTTATTGTCTAAAGGAGAGAGAGTTCCTAAGTCCAAGTGAAAGGGAGAGAGGTGTTTGATGAGGTGACTGTGTAAAGAAAGGGGCAGAAGGCAAGCTAATAGTTTCTGTTAGGGACAAGTTGAACTTGAAGTATTATAGACAGACCACAAGGTAAATGGAAAATAGGTCTAAGGCTCTGCGACCCTTTCATCCCATCTCTTCAAATTCCAAAGTGGAAATTTTCTATTAGAAAAAGAATGTGTACCCAAGGTAGATATATCTGCAATCCACTTCCCTCCAATTTCCGTTCAATCTGCCACTCCAAACTAGTATTACAAATATTTCACCCTCTTTCAGTCAGAAAGTGTCACACAATGCAGAAACGTATGGTTAAGCCTGCAGTAAGAAAGACCAATCCATCAAATTTGATAGTTGTAACTAAGAGCAAGATATTCCATCAATCATTAAATGAAGATGACACCCATTTTTCATGGTTGTGGAGTTTAAAATAAATTTATTTTAGGGTTTAACACACCAGAGGTTACTGAACTTATGTGATCGCTCTTATTCTTGGGTTATAAAAAAGGTCAACTGAAATGTTTTAATGGTACATCCTTCACTTTTATTGATCTCTGAATCAATGGCTTTTCATACTTTGCTATACAGAGGGTGAACTCTGTTTACTATACTATGTATATTCCTGATGTACAGGATCAACTGAATTCCTTTTAATATAGATATCAGGTAAATATTTCTCTTTTGAATAATAGATTTGCTTCCATATTAGTAAGAATTGCCTTTTTTTTTCCTTAACTGAAAAATTCTGAGCTCAATTAAGTATATAGTTGATGATAGTAACTAAGCTGTAGGATATATATAAGCTGGCTAGTACTTTTGTTCACATTATAAGGATAATAGTTACCATATTTTGAGAAGCTACTACTTGCCAGGCACTGCGCCGAATGTTTTACCTTCATTATTTCATTTAATCTTCACTGAAACCCACTGGGGAATTACTGTCATTCTTCACAAGAGGAAAAAAGGAAACTGGCTCAGAGATGAGTCTGGAGAGTGGTTCAAACACAGGCCTGCCTGTCTCCCGTCACAGCTCTTTAACTTCCACTCTACATTAGCGGTTTATATTGGACACTGGTTGCATTCAGTTTAAGCTCTTGCAGCCTTTTCTTTCCTTAAAGTGGAGGAGACTCTCTTGTGTGATATTCTGCTACAGTCGTTATTAATTCAACAAATTGAAGCAATTAGAAAATATAAAATATTTGGAAAGCATGTGAGATTTAACAGATAACAACAAAGAAAACAGGCCCAGGGAAGAGGGGTATAGCTTTCGAACTGCTAGGCCGTAAACTTGGGCCTTGTCTGTCACTGGCAAAGTAGCACGCAAGGTTTCTGGGACCACTGAAACCCACACTCCAACCCAGCCCATCCCATTCCGTCAGTGCAGACGCCAGTGCAGAACTAGGGCTTGCGAGAGGCTGGGGCCTGGTCAGTTAACGCCTAAAGCTCTCCTGGAAAATGGTGCGTCAACCATTGACTCTGCAGCGAAGGGAGGTTAGTCAGTGGCAGACTCCCAAAGCTGCAAGCCCGAGCTTCTCACGGAAAATTAAACCCAGGTTCTCTCAAAGGATACTCACCGGAAGCCGACAGAGACAGAAGGTGGGCCTTGAACGGAGACCGGCAGTCCATCAACCAATCAGGAGAGCTCGGCTGCTCTTCGGGGACCAACGGAATTGGACAACAGGAGCTTACTCCCGCCACTAGAGCGCCTTTGGCTCTCAGAGAACATCGCGAGATTTTCGCTCAAGCAGAATTGGTTGAAGAGTTAACGCCCACTGTTTCCTCCGATTTCTGATTGGTTTTTTTCTGGAGAAGGTGGTAAACGTCACGAGCTCCCTGGATGTCCATTGGTGAGTGTACAGGACTGCCGGCGCGCGGGCTTTAGCGCGGGCGTTTGAACTGGTGCTTGGTGGCGTTGTCATGGGGATGCGGCCTGGCTGTAGTTGAAGCTCGCGGTTAATTGAGCTCTCGGGTCATGGGCCTTAGGGCTCTCTTCAGAAGGCATCGCTTTTTTTTTTTCCTGTTCTCTGATGGGACTCCTTGAGGAGGAGTTCTGAAGTCTTAGAGGTGAGAGTGGGCAGGGGGAACCAGGGCTGAACGTAGCCAGTCGGAAGTGATGGCGCCAGCCCCTGGGGAGAGGGTGCGCGTAATGCTTCTTGCCAAGCGCGTGGAGAGACAGGCGTTTGTGAGGCAAGTTGGTTTACCCCAGTTCTTCAGACTGTTCACCCACTCTCCCACTTCTTACCCCCATATATCTGGTTCTTCTTCGTCACTTGCCTTGAACGCCACCTCATGAAGTCTCTTACTTTTGAACTCATGCGGACTGCATTCTCAGAGCTCTTCGGTTTTGGTTTTAAGTTGTGTACTACCTAAACTCTTCTACGTTCTAAATCTTCTCCCTTCCATACAATTTTTGAAAACAAACTTGAAAAGTCTTACAAAGTTGCAGAGATATTTGTTCAGCTGAATTTATATTTTCCTCTCACAATCTATTTTTATTAGGATATGTTGGCAGTACATAATGATTACCTTCGTCGTGAAGAGTTGGTACATTTGTTCAATTGAATTTAAATTCGCCACAAATAGACTAGATTCTCTTTTATGTCCGGTCCTGTTATCTCTTCCATTCAGACATGATTTTTTTTTTTTTTTTGAGGTGAAGAGGACTGCACCCTAATCTCATAGGCAAAAGGGCCTGAAAGTTCAGTTAGCCTTTTCCTTGTGAAAAGTGAAGCTTTTTAAATTGGTTGTTACAATTTTGTATTATGGCTTTTAGTCTTGGTCTTTCCATACTTTTTAGTAAACTCCTGTTAGTCTTTGCCTAAAACAAATCATTCTGTAGCTGTATGCCCGAAAGTTTATCTCCTTTTAGTTTCTTAGTGAGCCAAAAGCTATTGTCACATTTTAAGTGTGCTTTGGAAAATGTTTTAAAACAGATGCATTGTGGTCTTACTTCAGTGCATATAACAAACAGCTCGGATAGCCTCTTATCCATCAGATGTCCATGATAGAATCAAATTACTGAGGCGGTTTTGTTTATTCATGGCCTATATATTGTCTCGTTGCTGATGGTTCTTTTTTATATTAAATTCTTAGCTCAGTAGTAACTTTAATGAAAGGATTGAAAAAGTCAGGTGTAGCAGCTTACAATTATTACTACTCTTTTATTAAAAAGTTTGAAACACTACCTTACAGCTAAACTGCATATCTGTAACGTATAGTAGAAACTGGACTGGGGATTCAGGGTTTGATCTCTAATTCATTCAACTGTGGATGGTTTTGTAAGTTATTTACTTATTTATATTTATTGAAATAGTCTTGCTTTATTGTCCAAGCTGGCTGGTAGTCAATTTGTGATCCTCCTGCCTCAGCCTCTCAAGTAGATGAAATTACAGGAGTGTGCCAACACATCTGACTTTTATTTACACCTTTAGACTTCACTCTTTTTATTTGGAAAATCAAAGAGTTGAGCTATATTAGAATCCTTATGACTATCAATTTTTAGTATTTGGTAGCAGACATCACACTCTCAGATTTCGCTTAGCAGCTGAAAGTAGTAGCTACTATTTATTGGGCATTTACCCTGAGCAAATGACTATATGGAGGGCTTTATGTAAATATTACATTTTTTCTTAGTATAGCACATAAATGTGCTGCCTAGATATCATTTCATTAAAAAATGTTTGGTTTTATGTTGTTAAAAGTCTTTAGGGCCGGGGATTTAGCTCAGTGGTTCCACCACCTGCCTCACAAGCACAAGGACCCGAGTTTGATCCCCAGTACCAAAAATAAATTAATTAATTAATTTAAAAAGTCTTTAGCTGCTTATAGTATGTCCTTGGGTAAATGATATGATCCTCCCATCTTCAGTTTTGAAAGAACAGCGGTATCTTTCTGAGCTGCTGTTTTGTTAAGTGATGGATAGAACTTACCTCAGATCTCTTTCACATCTAATGTTCTATGATTAATCTTTTAGTCCATTTTCTTCATGCACGTTCAGCAAACGTGTTCATAATTTTTTCAGAATAGATCCTTAATATGTTTTTTTTTTAAACGAGTGATAGAGAACTAGATGCAGTGGCATGCACCTCTCTCCAGCTACCCAGATGTCTGAGGCAGATGGATCATTTGAGGCCAGCCTGAAATATAGAGATCTCATCTTTTAATTGTAACAATAATAATAAAGAGTTAATGCAGTTTACTTGGTCTTAATGTAGCACATAAATGTGCTGCCTAGATATCACTTCATTAAAATAATAATATAATAATTATATTACATTTTGAGTATTGTGGTCATTTTATGCTTCCTGAATCACTGTCCAAGGACTGTGATATTCATATACTGTTCAACAAGACTTTTCCATATGTATAAATGAATAACAATAGGTATCATATGTTGTTTATACATCACATACTGAATTTAGTGCTCAATTTACATTGTTCCAATTAATCATCATGCAAGCAAATATCTTTTCCAAGTCATCATCACTTTTTGTCTGTTCTGTGCTTGCTGCATATCTTGAATTTTCCATTTATCCCCACCCCTGCAATACACTCATCAGAACTGGCTGAGTGATCTTTAAAGACAGACATCTTTATGTAGCCCAATTGATCCTACCCAATCTGGCCTCAGCTTTCTGTCCATACTCTTCTTCCTTTTACCTGTTGTTTAGCTAAACTGGCTTTCTCTTGATCACTTAATCATTCTGTGCTTATTTCCACCGTAGGGCTGACACACTCCTCCTGGAATGCTTTTTCTCCCAATCTTCCTTCTTTTTAGGTTTTACCTCAGTGTTCCCTTTGGAATGAGGCCTTCTCTGATCATCCAATGTAGAGTAGGCCCTTCAGCTCGCTTTATTTTTTTTTATTGCACTTATTGCCATCTGAAATTACCCTGTTTATTTGCTTGTTAATTATCTTCTCCCACAAGGCTAACTGTGCCATTAAAGCAGTGACCTTGTCTATTTGGTTCACTGCTGATTCCCCAATGTCCAGAAGAGGGCCTTGCTTATAAAAGGCTCTCAAAAAATATTTTTTGAGTGATTGGATAAAGATTCTTGTTGGAACTGTGACCATAGCATTCATTAGAGTAATAGAACCTTCCTTCATTCTTTTGCCAGGAGCAGTGAGTCAGGTACCACCAAGTATGCCAGAATTTTCCCTAAGTAATCACATTACCCTGATACAAAAGTTTCCAACAATCAAGATTACAGATGGTAGCAAATACTTTTGAGAGTTTTAAATGTAGTATTAGGGAGATTTGTTCATGAAACAATTATTGAATGTTTATTATTTTCAAACACTGTTTTAGATACTGGGGATAAAAAAGATAAAATGCATTCCTTGACTGTGAGGAGATCACATTCTAGTGTGTGACATAGACATCTTCAAAGATAATTATTATAGAATGTAAATAACGATGGAGATAGGCAAAGGTATGATATGAACATAGAAGGGACATCTAATCACATCTGGTGAATTCAGAAAAAACCTTATGTATTTTAATCAGTAAGAGATAGTGATAATTTGGGCATGGTGGCCTGTAATCCCAGTATTTAGGATGTTGAGGCAGGAGGATTGCCATGAGTTCAAGACCAGCCCGAACTACATAGTGAGACTATGTCTTTTAAAAAAAAATGAGTGAGTTTGATCAGAGTGGGAGGCCACTTAAAAGCACAACATTAATTAATGAATTAATGCACAGAAATAAAGCAACTGTTGACTAAACTTGAGAGAAAGGAAGAGGCTATATTATAGAAGGCTTTGTGGAGCATGCCAAGGAGCTTGGACTTTGCTGTGAAAGTAGGTGGTAAGATGCTGTTTTTAAAGAAAGATTTTAAAGAGGGGAGCATCAGGGACTGCTTGCTCATCTGGCTCAGCAGTCTGCAGGAATGGGGCAAAACTAGTGGTAGGGAGAATAGTTAAAAGGCATGTACTGATCTAGGTGAGAGACACTGGGGCTGAATCACTTAGGCAGTTGTGGTAGGACTGAAGATAGAAGGAAAATTTGACAAATATTTAGTATTGGCTTGATCTGTTGAGTAGTTTTAGGATTAAAGGAGAGGAAAGCATCTAGGATGAGTGACTGTGGGTGGTACCTACCTTGTGCCCGCAGTAAAGAGAAAGGTAGAGGATAAATTTTTGTTAAGAGGTAGTGAGTTCTATTGTTATCAAGTAGTTCAGATGCTGAATTGTGGAGATTTGGGGGGGAGGTACTAGGAATTGAACTCAGGACCTTGCGCTTGTGAGGCAAGTGGTGGAACCACTGAGCTAAATCTCCAGCGAGATGTTTTGATTGTAATCCTTGAATGTTTTTGCTGCAAGACATATCTGTGACACTGTGTTTTACTGTGAAGTGAACTTAAGTTATACTGTGATTCTAAAAGTAACTGACTCAATAACATTGTGCAATAACCAGGCCAAAAATACTACTTGAGATTTCACCAGCAATGGAAAGCAGTACTGTTTATTTGAGCAGTCTAAGTTAGACTCCTGTTTATGTTGGTAATGGATTGGTTAAAATAATAGTATAGAGCTATGTAGCCAACATATGGACATCCATTCACTTTCTAAAACATTAATATAGTTTTGAATAAATCATGACTCAGCTTCTTCACTTGTAAAAAAAAGGGAGATGGTGGGCTGGGGATTTAGCTCAGTGGTTCCGGTGCTTGCTTTGCAAGTGCAAGGACCTGAGTTTGATCCCCATGCCAACAAAAACAAAACCAAAAAACCCAAACACACAAAAAGGGAGATGGTAATTATTGTCTATGCTAAAAAGTCTTTGGAGATTAATTGGGGTAGCACAACTAATTACATATTAATAACATCACAGAAAATGGAATTAGTTTTTTAAATTGTTCATCATTTTCTCAATGTCACTCCTTTGGAAGTAATTCCTGGTGCCATAGTGGTAGCTGTTTCCAAATGGATATAACCCTGAATGAATGAATGTATATCATCTTGGCAATTCATAAAAACTGATCATAATAGTTATTTTTCCACTGAAACACAGGATATATAATTTGTTGTAAGTATTTAATGGCGACAGTGGTGAAAATCTCCAA